AACTCTAGCGAGATCCTCCAGCACATCCTAAAGCAAAAAACCCGCTCGCCCGTCCCCATCACGTACTCCTTCCTCGCGCCCAACGCCAAGGGCGTCGAAAACGCCACGGCCGTGCTGCAGCAGCACCCGGGCGCGTACCTCACACCAGCCGAGGCGCTGTCCGGCACCAGCAAGAAACCCGGCGTGGAGCTCGCCGTGTTCGCGGCCGCCACCGAGAGCTTCTCGCAGAAGAACCTGAACTGCTCCATCGCGGCGTCGCTGCAGAAGTTCGCGGACGTGATCCAGGGCGCCAAGCAGCGGGGCCTGCGCGCGCGCGCCTACATCTCCGTGGTCCTGGGCTGCCCCTTCGAGGGCTACGACGTCGACCCGCACCGCGTCGCCGAGATCGCCACGTCGCTGCTGGAGATGGGCGCCGACGAGATCTCGCTCGGCGACACCACGGGTATGGGGACTGCGCCCCGCACCCAGGAGCTGCTGCGCTGCATGGCGGCCGCCGGCATCCGCAACGAGGACATCGCCATGCATTTTCATGATACGTACGGCCAGGCCCTCGTCAACACGGCGATATCCCTGGAGCGCGGCATTCGGACGTTTGACAGCGCGGTGGGCGGTCTCGGCGGCTGCCCCTATAGCCCCGGCGCCACGGGCAATGTGGCTACCGAGAACATGGTGTACTTCCTAGAGAGCTTGGGAATGGAGACCGGTATCGATCTGGATGCCATGGCGGATATTGGACAGTGGATCTCTGGGGAGCTGGGCAGGCCAAATGATTCGGCTGTTGGCAAGGCTGTGCTTGGAGCCCGTAAGCCAGGGGCTGCTGCGTCGTCGATATGATGTGTCTAGGCTAGAAAGAGGGAGGGATGTACATATAATAAGCCTTGCGAGAGGGCGTACTTAAAGGCTTATCTCGGTATTTATATTGAGCTGCACAAAGTTCGTTGGATTCCATGTTTCCGAATTCACATACCGTTTCTCTCAATTGCTACTGGGATCTATGATGACAATGTGGCTAACGCGCCTTTGGTGGTTGGTTAGGCTAGCTGGCCTATGCTATTACATCTCAAAGGTGGTCAATCCCCTTGATACCTATCCATGGGCTTACTTCCTATTCGCCGCCCCGTTCTCATCGTCGTCCTTTGAACACTTCATTGTATAGTACATTCCGAAGGCCTTTGATCTACTATCAAATCCCTCCCATCATACCGAAGACCGAAAGGTCGATGCGTCGGGCTCCGGCTGTGGCATTTTGTCCTAACAGGAGCGATTCCTGGACCTCGGCTCTCCATTTCGCAACCGCCTCCTTTTCCTCTTGTACGAACCGGGCGCCCGGGTCAAGGAAAAGAGCAGTCTCCATGCATCTCTCCGCCAGTGCCAGATCATCCCGGGCAACACGATTGGTAGAGGCGAACCAGCAGGATAGGTTCGCTGCCTGCGCAGGTGTGGGATCCCAGTCGATGTCTAGTATGCTGGTGGTACTGACTGCCTTGTAGAGAGACTCGTAGATGAAATTGGCGAAAAGCTTGGCTCGCTGCATGTCGCCGGCTTCGGCCATCTTTCGCACGGCACGAAACGTGTTGATGCCTAAGGAGACATTGACGTCGAAGAAGATCGCGGCGAGCATGGTCTTGAAGCTGGAGATCATTTCATGCCCATAGATGGGCGGGACCTCGATAAAGGAGAGACGGATTATTTGAACGGAGGTTTTGGACCAGACCTCCTAGGCACCTTGGAGCAATGAGGGTCAGCAATTGCTTCATAAAAGATCGCGTAGGGATTAGGCCTGTGTTAGGAATAACATGAACTAGGGGATATCAAAAATAAAATAAAGAGGCTCTCAATAGTACGTACTGATACAGTCTCCGTGATCATAATGGTGTCTACCGCGCACTCTCTGACGGCTGAGTTGCGCCATAACCTCCCAGAGAGGAGCTTTGATAGGCTTGAATCCGACATCCGTGGCCACGGCTTTTGCCAATTCTGGCGAGATGGCACCCTCGATGGTGAAATTGGAAAGGGTGTTACACAATCCACCAATGTGCTCTCGATATGGCTTGACGAGGTTTGCCTATTTTATCCAAGAGTTAGAAACCGACATTCATTTGCCTTGGTTCATAGAAGCAGACACGAGGTTGGTTAAATACATATATATATATATATATATAAAAGGTATGTATTTTCTGAGACTTACCTGTTTCGTGGGTCCAAAGTAATTAGTATTCTTGAACAGGTCATGAATGACAACAGAGTGTATAGTCCGAGAACCAAAGCGGGGGATGTGGATGTCAGCCATAGAGATGACTCGGCAGAACATATCAAGGTCGCGTCGAAGGATGGCGAGATGGTAAGAGGGGTACGAGTCTTCTCTGGGGTTGGCGATGCAGTGTGTCATGATAAACCCTGTGAACTGCTTGACAAAGGTGGTGTTCATGGACAAAATCGGGACGGGAAGGAGCCGGAGAATCCTATTCATATCGACACCGTGGGTGACGACTCGGATGAACAGGTTGCTCTTGATCATAACTTCGAGAGCCTCCACCGAGACCTGGCGGTTGACACGTAAGAGTGCCGTATTAATTTTGTGATAGACCCTAGTTATGGGCCGCAGATGGATTGCAAGCTGACCACGTGTTGACTGTGGAGCAGGCCAGTCGCATAGGGCCTCATGATAGATACTGTCTCGTAACTCACGGGGAATTTCTAACAAAGGGAAATTCTTAGTCGCCATGATTGCAGACCTGGATCGTGAAAAGAGAAAAAAGAGGCAATTGGATTGGTCAAGATGTTGTGAACCGTAAACGTGTTTTTTTTTCGAGAAGGAAAAAAGTACGATCAACAAAAATGGTGAACAATTAAAAAATTTCCGGAGCAACGAGACGTGATTAAAAGGTGTTTGGCGACTAATACTGATTTACGTACCTGCCTAAATTGAGGTGTTCACGGCAACCCTCCCCCCTATTCCCTTTTGATTGATGCACTGACCACCAATGTACCTTTAGTATCCAAGTATAGATAAAATTCTCACTAGTCATCTGGAGTACCGTGTTGATACCAGTGATGTGGGCCACTAGATATCACAGCGCCCTTTCCAGAATGTATGTTGTCCAATTCTTTATATACATCCTCAGTTACGAATGGTCCCCATTGTAATATACACATGGTGTCGATTTTGAGATAAGTAACATAACTTATATAGAAATCTTAACATCTTGCCTGAGATTAGACTCTGGACCCGCTGAGATGTTACTTAGATTGCCAGCCACTTCATAGGTGTCTACCGTAGGGAAGCTACTATTTCATATAAGACCTGTTGCTTGCTTGGTTTTCATAGATAAGCCTGGATGCCACATTGTCCTGTGGAGCAAACGGCATATTTATCACTTCTATCAATAGTCGTAGTTCCCATTGTAAGTATTTATCTGTGTAGGTACCTATCTACGTATCTCTTCCCCCTGAACTACGACAAGACATCGGCGAACATCACCTACTTAGGGACTTCTTGGGGGCAGCTTAATATAATTTGATGAAATATCATCAGTCGTTCCAGTAGGCCCTACAGTTATGGTCACTTATGTTCACGATGTACATATTTCATCAATATGCTGCAGTTCGGGCCAGGCGTTATGACATGTACGAGATAGGATGCGCCCAAATCCGAGGAATTACTACGCAAAATTGATAACAAAATGATGCAATTAAAATAATTAAAATGAAGTAAAGTAAAATAAAATAAAAGACAAAAAAGCTAAGGTCTTGGGACGTCCCCCCTACAGGCGACCTGACGAATGGGCCTCATGACGACGCGCCCTGTAGAGGTTTCGAACCCCCGACCTATACGAAAAACCCTTTCGGATTTTGTCTGGCCCTCTATTCTAAGGTTTGAGTTGCAGCCCATACATCTCTGGCACAATAGGTTATCATCAAGGGTTAAAAAACAGAATGTTATTACATCATATAACCCAATGGCTGGTAGGTGGGTGGTTAGTCCGGTTTCCTAATCAGCGACCGTGGTGGTTGACGAGACAACACACCACGAAACGTACCTAGGTACCTATGCACTGAATTGATATATCCACAAAGCGCCTATTCGCGTACCAATCCATGAACTAATATTTCAAATGCAAATACCGGTAAAACGGAGGAAAATGCAAGTTAACGCCAAGTTTCTAAAACATATGTAAAGGGGTAGATGGCTTTTCAGGGGTTGAAAACAGACATACTCATCAACATGAAGTATAGACTGAATGATCTGGGCATTGCACGTAACTTGAGGTAATTCGCCTCTGATAGGTGTCATGTTCATTGCCTACCTAACCTAGGCAGTCTGACGAAGTCGAAAAGCCGTTAGCAATCTTCCCCAAGCTAAGGGGCTCTGTCAGTCCGATTATCCTAGAGATGCAACTAATTCCCGGCTCGCATTTGCTAGAAAAGAAAATGCTGAAATGATTGAATCCGTTCGTCCTCTCCTTTTTCCTCACTTTTCTAGTTTTTCATCGTAGACAGAAGCAAATTCATCTTTCGCCAACTTTGGCAGACAAGTAGAGATAAATTTCTCTAGTCTCCAGCTCTCCATTTGGATATCGTTATACTGAGTACCATCGACAACGATTCGGATGAACTTATTGCCTTGTAACATGACTTCCGTACCACCCCTTGAGATCTGACGATTAACCATTAGGATTGCTATATCAATTTTATGGTGAGACATAGCTAGATGTTGAAAGGCTTCATCATAGGGCGGTTCCGGGGGAGGCCAGATGTAGAGAATGTCATAGTAAATACGATACCGCATCTCAAGGGGAAGGCCCAGAAAATTGAAATGCTTCGCTGCCATATCTACAGTTTTGAGAAGGCCGCGATGTATGTAGACGAATAGACTTAAGTAATAAGATATATCTTGTTAAGTAATCTCGCATCGTACTTCGCCTCTTTAATTATGTACAAAGATATGATGAGCCCACCCCAAACAATACCCCCCAACCCTTTTCAAAAAGAAAGCAAGACAGTCCCAGAGAGACTCGAACTCTCGGCCTTCGCATTATTACCAACACGACGCTCCAACCAGCTGAGCTATAAGACTCATAAGTCCTGATCGCTAGAGTCATAGTTGATGAAGGAGTGCGAAGATCAAGCTATATGGATACCGGCACTATGAAGTTAAGCAAGCAGCTGATGTTGTTTGTATCACTCCGATGTTTGTGGATGCTAACCGTAGAATACACACTGCCAACCTGGTCTTTCATTACTCAGCCATAGTCTCGTAGTCTTGATTTCATCTATGTATGTACATACCACCCTGAATTATTCGTAACCGTTCGTAACAGTGTCAGCACGTACATCATGTCTCGTTGCTGAATGCCTGGTGCCCAATGCTCAAAGCTCACAACACCCCGGTCTGTAAGCATGTAACCCCTATTCCGGAATCAAGCCCCCTCGCCCAGCCCCTCCCCGGCGACGGCGCGACGTATTCGCCTCCTAGCCGAACCGTATCGCGCTATTGCGGTCCCAGGTCCCGCCGGCGGGCCTCCGCTCCTGCTGCGCACCGCCTCCCACGTCGCTACCGCCACCACCACCGCCGCCGCCGGAATTTGGCGGCGGCGGCGTGTTGGCGAACTTGATGCCCGCGCCGGGGTTCCAGACGCCCTGCATGGGGTTCGCGCGCGGGGGCTGCGGCTGCGGGGCCACCGTCTCGCCGGCCGGCGCCCAGGACTGGATGTGGGCCTCGGCGGGCGCTTGGACCGGCTGCTGTCGCGGCTGCTGGGGCGGCAAGAACGAGTTCTGCGGCGGCTGGGGTTGGATCTGCGGCTGCGGTTGCGCCTGCCCCGGGTAGCCCGCGGCGCCGTTCCAGCTGCCCGTCGAAGGCGTGGGCGAGTGCACAGACGGCACGCGGCCCTGCGGCCCTCCCAGGCTCAGGTTGCCCAGCGGCGGCATGTTCAGCTCGTCCTCGAGCATGCGCGCCTCGCGCCTCCTCTCGGCGACGTAGCTCCGCGCGCCATCCCGAAAGCCGCCTATTATGCGGCTAAGATCGTTGTAAAATTTGCGCCCGGCCTCCGCGTTGCTGACCAGCTCCTTGTACTTGTAGTACGCGTTCTCGAGCTTCTGCAGCGCCTGCTCCCGTTCCCTGTTGCCCTTGTCGCCTACCAGTTTCTTCTGGCTCTCGAATTCGCGGTTCACCCGTATCAGCTCCGTGATAAGCTTCTCCTGCTCGGTGCCCTCTTGTTTTATGTACTCGTGATCCGGTTCGTACAGTGAGTCTAGGCGTTTCTCGAAGAACTCTTCGAAATGTGCAGGTACGATAGCGGTAGCTACTGCGTGGGAACGCTCCAATCGTGCCGCTTCAGCCAGAATATCGGACTTGATGTCGTCGTTTCGGGCCTTTTCGCGGAGTGTTTCTGCTTTTCTATGACGGCGACTCTCGAGGCGTATAATATCATTATAAGCCGTGCGTAAGCGACCGATAGCAGGTTTGAGTGTTTCCGGGATTTCAGTGCGCCGCGACGAAGGGACGAAGTCCAGCAGACCACGATCTGAACCGGCGAGGATTTCTAACGTGGGTTCTATGCTCTGGAACTTCTTGCGCACAGCAGCATCGCTGCTTCCACTAGTCTCGAACCAGCCTTCTGCAGCGTGGACTTGACCCCAGAGCTTTTCGCCTTGGCTTGGCTCGGAACGGCTTTGCGGTCTCGACCATCGATCTGTGCCGTATTTCCTGCGTAGCTGCGTGTCTTCCTCTTCTTCCGCTTGCAGCACTTCTCTTCCCTCCTCGTACATTTCCATATCGGCGGCGCGTAACCTGTCAATATCCGCAAAGCTTCTCGACAGGCGATGTATGGCATCGGCTTGACGAATCTCTTCGGCGTGCTGAACCAAAGTTCCAGGTAAACCTAGCGGCTTCTCGAAAGCCTGTAGTGAACCAGGAAGGTTCAGTGACGAGAGGATTTCATGTATCCTTTCGTTTAGTAGTTCGAGCTCGGCTATGATGTTCTGATTGACAAGCCGGTCTCTTCGTTCTTCGTAGATGGAGACTGCAATGTGGACGGAATACGGTACGAGCTTTGTGAAGAGTGGAGGACCGAACTCGCCTTTTTCACTAAGATAGTCTAGGGGTGCTGCGACCTGTGGCGGTATCCTTACAACCGCCATGTTAGCTCGGTCGAGGATTTTCAGTTCAGACTTTGGTGGTACTGGATCTAGAGCGTATGTTAGCTTGGTATTCTAGTTTGTTATAAGGTGGTAGTGGGAAGCATACTTAGATAAATAACATCATTATCCCTTTCTGCTCGCTTTAGGTCTTCTTCTACTCTCCTCTTGAGCCCGTTCAAATCTTCCACCACCGTCTTGTTCAAATAGCCACCGCGAGTCTCCTTAAGACCCTCGGTGACGCAAGCAACGGCATCTTGTAATCTCGCTACCTCCTCACCGTACTTTCGCTTCTCTAGGCAATCGCAAGCGGCGCGATACTGAGCAGCAGCAGCAAAATGATGGTGTTTCGCACTCATGTGATGGATCCAACTACTACTTATGGCCTCCGATCGCATGGATGCCTCGCTTGCCTCGTTGTAGTAATCTGATACTTTCGCAGCTAGCTTTGCAATGGATGCGTCCTTGTAGCCGTCCATAACGGCTTTTTGCCAGTAGCATTCTTGCGACTGAGCTAGCTGAAGCTGTATCAGCGAGTCCAAGGTGTGTTCGTCCATATCTTCGGGCGGTGTTGTTCGTAGCTCGGGCATAACCTCCTTCTTCAGTTGTGTCAAGACGCCCGCCGACTGGCTGAAATAGCTTGCTGCGGTCTTCAGGCCATCCGTGCTAGTGCGATTGCTAGCTATGGCAAGCTGCGAGTATAAAGCGGCGAGGTTGTATAGGATATTGGCAAGTTCGAACCTAAGGTTATTGTGTACAACGGGTCGCTCGGTGTTGTAGCCCAAGGCAGGATACCATGTGAAGTCGGCGCCGATCTGCGAGATGTCTCTGTAAGTATGGATATGATCTAGCATCCCCTATTATTTGAAAGACATACATCTATAGGAAATTTCCCACCGAGCCAGACCAACTGCCCCGCGTAGGCCTGTAGTCTCGCGACACCGCTGGGATGTGGCTCGCGCACATTAACAGCGTCGCGCCTCAACGCATCGATGACCTCCAGGTCTTGACGGAACATGTCGGGATGCTGGTCATATTTGGTAGAGATGTACTGCCGCACAGCTGACGACAGCGACAGATGCGTTCCCTTGCGGAAGGGGACCGCAAGGATGTTGTTTTGCATGACGGCTGGATGCTGGATGTATCGTAAGGTGCAAGATTGAAAGTAAGAAAAAGGGAAGAAATAAGGTGTGTACGCAAGATGTCGACGGCGTTAGGCAACGTCAAAACACCGACATAACCGTTTAATTCGAAGTTTATTGTTGCCCAACCTGAAGTCGCTTGCCCGAGAAAGTTATTTGAATGAGGTCATCCCGTTCTGTCAAGGCAAGGAGAAGTCAATACCTATCCTTTTAGGCCGCTGTCTATTTAGTGGGGGTGGGGCAGATCTTATTATTCATTGGACGTGCGCCTAAGCTTCTATCCTGGGTTTCTTTTATAAATAAATTCTATTGACTTCTGACATATCGGGGTTCACTTCCTGTCGCAAGTCGTATCTTGTATTTCATGTAAAAGCTTGTAATCAAATAGGTGTATATATATTTGCACTGGCGTTTGCGTCGTTTGTCTCGAGGAAAAATATCAAGATCATCCGAGATGTATGCTACATACATAGTATAGTAGCACATCTACTTCACAGTCAGTCCCAAAGTCACTTACATATACTCAGTTTGTGACCCTCTTAAGCCGATTCAGATTCTTGCCGCAGTTTATTTGTCACTTTCAACAAGTCACTACTGGAACCAGCTACTCATGTTTTTGTTCATGTTTTTTTTTCGGCCTATCTAAGTATGTACAGCCGTAAGCGGACATCCACCTACATCGTCTCGAGCACTTCGATTCCGAGCCGGTGATGATGTCCTCCAGTACAGCACATGATAACCACTAGCGTAAGCTCCCCAAGAAAAAAGAAGAATCCTCCCCAAAATTTCGCCAGCCTCGAGCCCATTTTTCCTGCAAATAACACTTGTCTCGTGTTTCCTCGCTTAGACATCTAATGCTCGTAACTCCGTTTCCCAGATAGCAGGGTCTATGATACAAACGGACGTAGGGAATAAAATGTTTCCTCAAAAAACTAAGATGGGTATTCTCAGCCATGATACTGAAATGTCGAAGAAGTAAAATGCCTTGTGTAAATGCTGTGTGCGATTATTATATTCGCCACTGACGTTGAGTTCCAGATGTCCGATAAAATGGAGGCCAAGACACGTCGTAGATAAGGTATGATAGGGTCTTCCGCGGGGCCAATCGAGGACGTGGTAGGTGACGACGACAAGGAAAAAAGGATCGACTGCGTTGAGTATTATGCATTATCGGATCTTGTGACAGTTGGGTGCGGTAACCAGCGCTAGTAAATGTACAGTCTCGGCGCGAATGGGGCTAATAATAGACGGAGTATCCAATGCTACATCAGTCCCAGGAGTGCAGGACGGCATTGAAAATCCTGAACCCGTAATGATGCGTCGATGCAAGACAACCAATTCGCGCTCATAGAGGCAGCCAGCATGCAAAATCTGATAGTCATCGTGATAAGTCCAACTCGATCGGTATTCGGCGATTCGAACAGGACATGCAAAGTGGTGACTTGATGACAACTGCGATGAGTATTGGCTGTGTATCCATGGCAAACTCCCGCATTGGTTTCCAATCCAGTCCTCTTCAAGAAGTAGATGAATAGAACATCGGCAATTCCCACTACCGTCATATAAGATCGTTCGTTACGTCGTCGTTCGCCGTGTTACGTAAAGTCTCCTTACGGGACCCAGACAAGCTCGATGATACCGTCAAGATGAGCCATCGGCTCGCCGTTTCGGTCAACCCATCTCCAGTCGTTGGCTTTTCGTACATAAAGCTGGCTGAGCGTGTTGTCCTCATTCATTATCGCTTCCTGGAGGTCCCAGCTCATCTTGCGACCAGTCTTCAGGAGACTCGGCCGCTGTG